GCCCAGCGCAGTGCACGAGCCCACCGCGCCCGCGATCAGCGGGTAGCAGAATCGGGCGACGGACGTGGGCCCGGTGCCGGCGTTGGGGATGCGAGACGCCAGGAGTGCGACCGCAGCTGCGAGGCCACCGAGCCAGGCGCGAGCGGCGGGCCGCGCTGCGAGGGCGATGAGTTCCTCGTAAGAGCGCGCCACGCTCTCGCCGTCGGCGTTGGCGAGGCAGACGGCGACGCCGCTGATAACGAGCGCCTAAAGTATGCGTCGGCGGCTCTTCCGCTGGGCCACCGATCAAGCCTGTCGCGCGTCCTGTGCACCGTCGCGGCGAGGTCTCGCGGCGCGACTGCGTCGCCGTGTAGCGGGGAGGCAAGGAGGAGGTTGATGACGAGGGAGAAAGAGCCAAAGGGCGCGAGGAGGGACTGGGCGGCGAAGGAGTAGGAGAGCATGTCGACCGGCCCGCACAGCGCCGAGAGGATCACGCCGCACACGTTGATAATCGGGCCGTGCCGGCGCTGGCCCAACCGCTGCAAGTTGAGGCCGACGCCATTCATCGTCGCGGCGAGCAGCGCGAGGCACATGCCAATCAGCGTGGAGCGGTCGATGCTCGCGCCGCCGCCGCGCAGGCTGAGCAGCGGCGGCGATGGAGGCGGAGGAGGTGGCGCGCACTCACGGATGCCGCGCCACGGCCGTGCGAGCGAGAAGCGGCACTTCTGTTCGGGCTGCGCGAGCGCCGTGGCCGCGGATGTGGAGAGGAGGGCGAAGGCTGCGGCGACCGAACCGCGCATGTACATACACTGCCTGCCGTGTGCCGGGCCCTGCCCTGCCGCCCGATCCCCTAGGGGTGTGAAACCCACACTGCCCTGCCCAAACCACACTGCCGAGGTGTGAACAACTGCCCGCTCGCGAGGTCTCGAAGAAACTTACCAGGCACGTATATTGATTGCGGCGCCTAGCCCCGCCAACCCTCCCAGGGTACCCCGCTCGAGGCACGAGGGACCCATTGGGTAGAGCGAGAGACCTCTACTCGCCAGTGCTGGGGCTACCCTGGTGGTCGAAGAGAGAAAAGCGCCGCCCGAACACGACTTCGAGCACCGGCACTAGCTCCGCGGCGGCGGCGCGCAACCTCGGAACCCGTGCATTCCGTCGGCGGCGCCGCACACCGAGAGCAGCGCGTCGCGCGCGGCCGCGGGGAGCAGGTTGAGGATCGTGGGCGCCCAGCCGACGATGGACGGGATGTAGACCCGCTCCTCCCCCTCCACCACCGCGCGCACGACGCGCCGCGCGACGGCCTCCGGGCGGAGCGGCGGCAGCAGCAGCCCCAGCCAGGCGAAGCGGCGGTGGCACGGCGCCCCTCCCTCGCCCAGCAGCGCGGCGCCGTCAATCATCCGCGTGCGCACGGCGTACGGCTGGACGAGCAGGCTGCGCACGTGCCGCGCGTCCGGCCTGTTCACACCGCGTTGCGCTGTGAAGAGAAAAGCTCGCATGCTTGGTCGGGTCTGGACCCGTGCGGCGGTTGCCGCGCGCGCAGCTCCCAGCGCAGGCACTCGTGGAGCTGGCCGACCGCCGCCTAGCCACACGGAGGGCATATCCATCGGATTGAACGATCATGTGCCACCCCTCGTGGAGCTGGCATCGCCGCCTTGCTCGCGCAGTACTCGGCCTGGGCGGGCGGGGCGGAAGGGGGGGGGGGGGTCGGGCGAGGGGCGTGGGGCGTGGGGCGAGGGGCGTGGAGCCAACGGCGCGAGGAGTGGGGCGAGGTCGCAGCCAGGCCGGCCCCCGGCCGCGCGTGCTGCCCGCGCCTGCCGCGCCGCGGGAAGCTCGGCCATGATCGAGCCGACGGCGACGAACACGCCGCGCGGCGAGGGCTCCGACAGGACCTGCCGCAGGAAGGCGCGCGCGCACCAGAAGCCGCCTACCTCCGCCCGCCGCCCTCGTCAGTCGAATCAAACAACTCGCCCTCACCCGCTCTCCAAGGGCCCACCCAGCGCGTTGAGCTGCAGATCTCCCCGCAGCTCGCCGTCCGTCGCGTCGAGCAGCGCGCGGC